AAATACCAAAATTTTTCTTCTTTTTTTTCAGTGTCGATATTTTCAGTTAAGAGGAAGAAGACTATATTTTTCGCAAACATACGTACACATCATACTTCAAAACATTTTCCTAATACAAATCTACCTGTGCTCAAACACAAAGATGACATTCCCAAATGGTGAGACAAACATGATTTGTAAGCCCATGTAATAATTGCACAAATACAGGGTGATCCCCAAAAAACCTATACAACTTGTTTTGTAAATATCTTCCTCTATTCTGAAGTTTATCGTTTCAGATTGGAACATAAAATTTGGAAGTCAAAAGAAATTTGTCAGATATTCATTTTAGAGAAGTCCATTGAATGGTTTTGCTTTATATGACACATTAAAAAAACAACCCATTTTCAACCTTGTCCCCATTTTCGTAGCATGACGCACCACTAAAAGCTGCAACAATCGCGCCATATTGCAAGCTACATCAATCTAACAAGTCAACAGAAGTCTGCAGACGTTATTTTTCCCAAATTTCTTTTGCCTGCTGAGATCATGATTAAGTTTAGTAAAGAGCAGAGAGCTTTTTGTATTGAACATTACCTCTCCACAAACTCACCATCCCTGACATTTCGTAAGTTCAGCGCACGGCATCGAAAGAAAGCTTAGGTGCCCTCAATACCGTTGGTGTCATGAGTAGAGTAGTTCCGTCAGTTTGGATCTATAACAAATCTGAACTAAAAATTTCCTTTAAAGATTACCACTTCAGGTCGAACACGCACAATGCGCAGCCCTTTAAACGTCACCAGGGTGCAGATTTCAGTAGTTGAGTCCCATGAGACGTCTGTTCGTAGACTATCTGCAGCTAGGACTTTCCTACACCTCGACACTCAGTATTCTCATGGCAGACCTAAACCTACGACTGTACCATTTTCATGTTCGCTAGTCAGAGATGACATGGATCAGAGCAAGGCAAAGTGTTCATGATTCTTCGATTGTCTTGAAAAGCGTGACCATTTCCTCGATGGCATTTGGTTTAGTGCGAAGCCCATTTTCACCCTGCGGGATATGTCAACTAAAAAAAATACTGTCTATTGGACACCCCACTTCATATTGTCCCTTGAAGCCTCTTCATACTGAATAAGTACAGTGCATGTGGCTTTAAACACTCATGGTTGAGCAGGTCCTTGTGTGTGGTGGGTGCCTTTGAACATTTTGAACGACGCGTTAGAAATGTGTCGAGTCCAAAGGAGGGCATATAGAGCACTGCTTCTAGGAATTCCAGAATGAAATCGTTACTTTCTTAAACTCTATTAAAGAAACTGAATATTGTTTAAATGTTACAGGGATGGAAAATCAAATGTCAAAGAGAAACTAAAGAAAAAGTCAACCAATCTTTTCACGACTTCCATTTCAAGATTTTTAAAAATTGGTGAACTTTGTGTTTTTGGGTGGGGGGGTTTTCTGTTAGCTATTTCCGTTTTCAAAATAAGTTTCTTCTTCGTGGATCGTGGATTTCATGTCAAACATGTTCCTTTTGAATGAATTATGTCTGTTTCAAATTATAGCATTCTAGAACAATTTTTGTGCAAAATATTCAGAAAAAGTTGTACAGTTTTTTTTTGTTTTTTTTTATCAACCTGTAATTAAACAATTACTGATATGACGTGCCGCTACCTTTAATTAGCCATTCCCCTGTCCGTGTTGGTAAGTGTTTTATGGCCCTCTAAACTGCATAAGGTCAAGTCATATAAGCGCAAAAGCAGAAAGAGTTAGGAGCCCAGAGGAGGGGGCAAGGGGGGGGGGGGTTAGAATGTGCAAACGAAAGCAGACGAAAGAGCATGATTAGAGAGCAAGGATGATGAAAGGAGAAACATTTTTAAGAGAAGAACATTTTTCCCGTCACTGTCAGTATTCGAAGCCAGGACTTATTGAAAGAGAGGCGAACACCGTATCTCAAAATCACAATGGCCCATTTCCCCTCTCCAAGTACGTAACAAAATTTCCTTTAATGTTGGTAGGTTTTGCCCCTCCATCGACACGGTTTTGACCAACTTGAAGGCGAACCGCAACCTTGCCTGTCAAGACCACCCTACCCAGGCTGAAGGGATGCAATGTCCTAGATAAAATACCGAGATACTCATAAATAAAGTCTCCCCACATGGGAATCGAATTCGGGCCTTCTGTGCGTGACCGTGAAACGCCTTCCCACTACACCACAATTATGATTACTTACATCCATAGAAATAATAAATACATTACACTGGATTTAAAACTATCTATATCTACAGAAATAGTAATTGAAATGTAGAGGTATTAAAGACAACTTACATCCACTGAAATCGTGAGAAATTGACACGTCTCTCTGGCTATAATTGATGACTGACGGGCACTCCGGTTGATGATCGCCAGCTCCTAAGGGAGATAATCAGTAAATAATATTTTACTACAGGTTTTCAAGATACCTTCCCCTTTATATTGAAACACATGCCCAGGACTTCGCCTTTCAAAGATAAAAATATTTAAAAATTTGTTTAGGCCTTTTAAAAGATAAAAAAAGGAGATAAAATTTGTTTTAGGCTAAAGCATTTAACAGGAGCAGGCAAAAGAACAGTAACAACAACGGTAACAACAAGAACAGCAACAACAACAACAACAACAACAACATAACCGTCACAACAAGAATAACAAGAATAACCGTAACAAAAACAACAACAAAAACAACAACAACAATAATAGCAACAACAACAACAACAACAGAACTGTAACAACAAAAACAGAAGGACGCTCACAACAGTGATCAATTAGATCGACCAAAGTGTTTACTCATCATCACAAGTAACACAATCGCTGTGCTGTTGAAACATTCAGCGGGTGTTTTGCTGGTGCTCTGGTGAGGTTTGCTCCTTCTTTCCTATCAAACACCTATCCTCCTTATCCCACCCCCTTCTTTTTTGTGCTTGTTACTCTCTTGTAACACCTCTAATCGTCGGCACTCATATGACTTTATTGCGTTGCGGGTGCCATAAAACTGTTATCTAAACTAAAGACACATTTACTCACCCCAAAAGTTTGCCCCTTGGTCAGGAAGGCCACAGGTTTGGCGAAGCTCTCACCCTCTTCCAGAACCATCACTGCGACTGAAGTAGAGTAAAACAGAAGAAAAAAATATCAAGACGAGGTGGAACCAGGCGCTGGTCAATTAAAATTTTTAAATATTTTTTTAGTAAATGGAGCTATTAGTATCATCTTAAAGTTTGTACACTTGTATTCTTGTTAGAGGAAAAAAATCCCTTTAAAAACTGATTTCGAGATATTTGCAATTTAAGGAGAAAGGGGTCGTCTTTTGTCAGAGGTAAAGCTCGTGAGAAAATAACTGTCAAAGTGAAGTGATTTCCAAAGCTTAAGAGTTCCTGGAAACTGCAAAATTACATTTATGTGCCTTTGAACAATGGTTTTCGGTGAAAGGCGGAGTAAAAAAGTGATGTGCTGAAAAAGATAGATAAAAGTTGCCCCAGAGGAGAGAAAAATGTCGTTGTCTTCGATTTAATTATTTTGAGGAGCGTCTGATTTTACCACAAAAATACGTAAATACCGACGTGTTTGTTGATGAAATATTTTTTTTAAAAGGTTGTATGAAAATCCTCAACACAAGACATTGTAGTTTGCATTGCACGTTTCCGTCAAAGATCGTTCTTCAGCAGGTTTATTGGAAATTAATTGTGCTCGTCCCTTTAATTTAAAGCACGGTTTCGGTTATTTAACTCATCATGTAGAAGGCTCTTTCTCCTTTGTAAGATAGATAGATAGCGTTTGTATAGAGCAAATCCCCGCTCAACAGCAAGCTCTAGGCGCTTCACAATCTATACTATTACCCCATCAGACCTGAGAGCTTTCTGAAACAAACTCAACTTCCTGAGAAGCATACAGTGCAAGCGGCTCCTTTGTGAGAAATCAATTGTGTCATCTGGGTTTTCAGCATCACTAACTTCCCTTTAGTCACGCCTCACTTTAACCTATTTGCATTAGATAAACACCAAACTTAAGCGCAACAATGAATGATCCAAGTAGTAAATATGCAATGTTATTATTTATCTATAAGATTGATAGGCTAGGGTTTGGTAGATTTGTTTCACGACGTGGTGGAGTCGGGTGCTCGACAAATGTTTTGACAAGTGAAGTTATTGGTTTCACCAAAAATAAGCCAGCAAAACTGACGGCCGTATAAAAAGAGTTAAAGCTGGATTCAAGGTCATGCAGCCCACAGCTCACAGCTCTAAAAACATTTCTAATACATAACACTACCTCAAAATTACGAAGTTCTGTCTAACATTTTGGGCCGTAACGAGATTCGAGATACCTTGAGGTCAGAAAACAAATGCTCTATCTTGTCTATCAAAATCGAAAGAATATTCGGAGTCACTTTTTAAATATTAAAGGAATTGCTTTTTTTTTTTAAACATGACATAAATGTTATTGTGAAACTCAAAATTTTTTGCGTCATTTTTTTTTTCTAAACTAGGAATTGAGCAGATACAACTTTGCAAGACTGTGAATTAACTGTTGCTCAAGTTGCCTGTTCCGAGCTAAAGACTTCACCACCCAACTACCAGGCCCGAGAATTGAGTAATGGAGCAGGTCTTGCAGCAAAGGCGCATTCCTGCATTTCACAAATATTAGTTAAAAGGCATTCGAAATCATTGAAGGTGACTTTTTATTCTATTTTAGATGTTTGGTGACGTCGTTGTCCCCTCTCAACCGACAGCCGAATAACCACCGACACAATCGATCCAGTAATGTGAGCGACAGTGAGCTGATTTCACGAAGACGACCTCCTGTTTTTTTGTTTTTTTTTGTGGTGTTTTTTTTGGTTTTATTTTGGAGTTGTTGGGGTTTTTTTAACACTACCATCCCCTTCAAACTCTCGAACTAATTTTAAATAATTTCCCCTCAGCCACCCGAACTTGTTGGATAAAGTAAAGAAAATGTAATTACCTACCTTTAGTGATTAAAAACAAACCATCTACATGTGCAAAAATTAGGCAAATTAGTAAAGATCAGATCAGTGCTTACATAGTATTACTTAGATTGTCTTCTACCAAAAAATGATTAGGGTTATTTTGAAAAAAGTAGTCAATTAGAATTAAGCTGCTGTGATTAGTATGGCATATACAAATGATCAGAACCAATAAAATGGGCAAAATTGTTTATTTTGAGGTTGGAGGTAATGGGACATTAGGCCGGGATTATGATGGAAACGTTGGGGGGGGGGGAGGGAAGGGTGTATTTTGGTGGGTGTGTGGGGATATGTGTGTGTGAGTGTGTGTGTGCGTGGGACGAAAATGAAGCCAAGAAGGAAAGTTCATCAACGACAACGTATAACACGAATCAAGTCACACAGGAATTACCTTCAACCCATCGTCCAGCCAGAGAGACTGAGACAAGTCTAGGACCAGGTAGTGAAGGCAGTGTTTGAGGGGTGAGGGTGGGGATGGCTTTCATTTAATTAATTTCTCGAGATCTAATGAGTTTGAGTTGAAGTTTATACTGTAGAGACATGACAGAACGTCGAGTTATGAACTAAGTGCAGACAAATTAACGTTTATTCACAAGCGGCTTGTGCATGTGCGCGTTAACAATAAAAACAAAATTATGTTAACAGGACTACTTTGCACGCAGTTGTTGTGTTATTATTATACTAAGTCGCTACTATACTACCCTTCTACTCCAATTGATATCATGCAAATTTTATAGCAAGATTCTGCATGGGCCTTTATAAAATATGTTGCTTGGAGAGCGATAAAGACGATTACATGAATATCAACTATTAGAGGTTGGCACCGCTATTGATTAGATGATGGTTCATTTGTTTGTTTTGTTCGTTGTTGTTGTCTTTTGTTGTTGTTTTTTGTGCGTGTGTGTGTTTTTATACATGCTTGCCAGCACTTCAACTTTGCTCTTATATTATGCATTTCTTCGTTTCTTAAACGTGTGTAGGTGAAACCTTTCTCTTTATACACTGAAAATGCTAACGCATACATAACCCATATTCATTTCAAAGTAAACTTGTTGTTACAAAGCTTTCGACATGTAAGAGTTACGGAGGATTTGTTGAAACAAAAAGTCGTTGGACTGGAATGTAATAGTATCTCTTGGAGGACGATCTTCGAAAACAGTTTATGGCACACGTGTTGATACTATAAATCATGTGTAACTACTTAAGTATTTAATCCCTTCACCGCCATTCCCGATATTGTCTAATGTTCCAAGAAAGAATGTTTGAGAAAACCTAGCAGTATAGGAGTTAAAAAGCAAAAGAAAAAATAATTGCAAACGTGCCGCAAGGCGGTTGTTTTCGTGTAATAACGCTACTCTAAAACTGCCAAGTTCTATCTGCTCAGTAACTCGTTTAAAAAAAACTGACGTGAAAAGGTTCGA